CCTACAAGAGCTATGTAATCTGATGGGACTCGTCTGATTAATTTCTTTCTTTTTGTGATACAAGCTTTGTTCAAATAGGGGAAGTGTAAAAACTTGGTCGAGCAAAACTTCTGTGCTACGATGACATTAAAGTGTCATAATGAGTTTTTTGATATTAGATTAATTTCTGATTTTTGATGTAACTTGTGAAACAAATACAAGAGTATTAAAGTTATTTATCCACAAAACAGAATGATTTATTTTAGAGGTAACTCGATACACTTTTCCCAAACACCGGAATGTCAACACACTTCTCGACACACCGATCAAGTTGACATTTTCGGGAAATGAATTCTACTTATTCGGTGAAACGCGCGTTGAGAAAAGTTTTACAATTATAGTGTTTGGGAAGAGTGCTCGTTTTGAATTTATTTTACGCCGGAGGTTCCAGTTACACCTTAATCAAGTCACATTTCGAGTTGAATAAAACTTTTCAGTATTGAGGCTTTGGGCATTCAAGATAAACAACTGGGGATTGAACATCAATCCTTCATTGTGGTTAACTGAGTCCGCTTGTGAAAAAACTTGCTGATACAAGTGCCATTAGGCCACAGTTGGGGATTCATAGCTTTACGGAAATTTTTGTCGTCGATCGTTTATCACGGAAAGAATTGGAGGAATATTGGGAGAATTTCACTGGCTTGGAAGGTGATGACGATGTTGAATTTTCAGATACAGATAGTATTGCAGATCCCCCATTCATTCCTGATCAAAGCGGTGATTCATAAGTAGAAATTTTGAATGAAAATAATATCCCAGAAGAGGGAATAGAAGCCAGTGAAATAATCGAAATGCCTTTGCCTTCTACCTCAAACTCGGACTCAAATCACGGGAGGAAGGTGACGAAAAAAGTTCCAAGACCTAGAATTGTTTGGAAAAAGAAGGGATTCCGTTTGAATGAACATTATGGTTATACGAATCTAAATGAAGAGTTGTTAGCATTAGAAACACCTTTTCAATTCTCCACTCACTTCTTCACTGAAGAGATAATCACAAACATCACAGGTGGGACAAATCTCTACTTAGTTCAAAGTGATCCAAATAGACAGGATTCTTTCAATCCCGTGGACATAAAACAGTTCATTGGAATGATTTTTTAGACGTCATTAGTTCACATACCCACCGTTTGATCCTACTGGAGTGATAGTCTTCCCTTCGAGCCAATAAGAAGCACTATGTCCTTGAATAGATTCGAAAAAATTTGCCAGTTCATTAATTTCAATAATAATGACAATCTCATCCGATTCCACCAGCCATGATATGATAGACTGCACAAAATTCGGCCAATAATTGATGAATTCAATAGAAAGTTCTGCAGTATTCCTCTTGAACAACACCTTTGTGTAGATGAACAGATGTGTTCGACCAAGATTGGACATTACGTGAAACAATATCTACCAAAAAAAAATACATAAATAGGGTTTCAAATTGTTCGTGCTAGCTGGAGTTTCTGGTTTTTCTTATAACTTTGAGATATATTCCGGTCAGGAGAATTGTCACGATCGCCCTGTTGGCGAACCTGATATAGGTGCATCTTTCAATGTTGTCATCCGTCTGTCTGTCTGTCTGTCTGTCATCCGGAAAATAAAAATTTTCGTTTGTATCATGATAATTATTATACGAATGTACAACTGATGGTTCATCGAGCAAATTAGGGATATACAGCTTGGGAACCGTTCAAAGAAAACGGATACCGGATTGTAAGTTACCCACGGAAAATGAATCGAAAAATGCCCCTCGTGGTGAAAGTGTTGAATATATGGCAAGGGTAGATGATGTGGATATATTTTCGGTAATATGGAAAGATAACAAGTACGTCACCATGCTCTCTAATTTCGCAGGCAAAGATCCTGTAGGTCTAGTGAAACGCTTCGTTAGAAAGGAGAAAAAAAAGTATCGAGGTGGAATGTCCTTTCGTGATGAAAGAGTATAATCACCATATGGGTAGAGTTGATCTGATGGATAGCAACATTGGAAGATATAAAATATCCCTGAAGAGCAGAAAGTGATATATTCGTCTGTTTTACCATTTGGTTCACCTCACAATGGCGAATTCGTGGATATTATGTAGGAGAGTATTCGCAGCTAAAGACCAACAAACCAAACCGATATTTCAAGCACAATTTCGTATTGAGGTAGCTGAATGTTTGTGTAAGATAGGATCTACAATTTCGAAAAGAGACAGACCCAGTAGCCTTGAAGGTGAGATACAAAATGAAAAGAAAAAAGGACCTGCTCAGTACATTCCACCAAAAGATGTCAGAAGAGACCAATATGGTCATTGGCCAGTTATAGAGGAAAATAAGATGCGGTGCAACTATCCGTGTTGTAAGGGTTTCACACACACGAAATGTAGAAGGTGTGGTGTGGCACTATGTCTAAACGAGAATAATAATTGTTTTTATAACTTCCACATTGAATGAATTTTTTTCTTTTCGTACGCAACGTTACCGTTTGGCAACATACCCATTTTTCCGGAAAAATGAACAATGTAAATGAATAGGAATTTTTTAATTATTTTTTTCGTTTTTTCTGACATTTCTATCCATCAACATTTATTTCGGAAAAATTCGAAAAATCATGCATGTAAGGGTTAAACCAGTCCCTTTCGTCTTTGACCAAGGCGTAATAATGACCAACTTCAACGCCAGAACCACAGTGAACAATGACTGCATGAATATTATAATAGTGATCTGCTAGATTGAAGTGTTCAGCTATTTCGAACCTTCGAAAGAGTTTGGTGCTTCCGTAAGAAGTTGAGTCTTGTTTGGAGATCATCAGTGTTATTATTAGATTGACTGGTGCTTCAGCTATACTTGTTTCCTTAAAACAGTCAGTTAGTTAGGCGCACGTTTGGCAATACAGTCGATCATCACCTGTTGAAAATTCCATTTTCAGATGATTTTACAATAAGTTTCGCACGGACTGGTTATTAGTCATATTAGGAAACGCTAGATGAAGTTCCAGAAATTCACATAATATACGTTTTTGCTACCTCTTGAACATTCACTACAAAATAAACAAGTGAGGATTTTTCCAATTCAGATCGGTCAGAAGAATTGATTCTGCTATTGTTTTGCCCACGAAGAGTATTCAACAAGAACTTCAAGAATTCAGAACAATTCTCTTGTTGTCCTAACGAGTATCTAGTGGACTTCAAAGGCTCCAGGAAATCGGTTGGAGGAAAAGATGATACATTCTTACGAACAGCTGCATGAACAGGTGTTCGAGTTTTGTGAATAAGTAGGAAACATTTTCGTTCTCATTCATCATTAAAACCTCATTCTTGAAATTTTTCGTCATGAACAACACTTCTAAAATGCTATCCATGAAGCGTTTCCTAAATTATCTAATCCAATTTTCTTCTCAAAATTTTCAGGACAACTCTCTACTGATTCGTAAGGAAGAACATGTTTCACATAGTCTGCATAAGAACCATTTCTTAAGCTGCAATCGATCCTTCCAAGTGGAGAAGGGTTTCGTAGAGGGATCGATTCGGCTCTTGCTTCATGAAGCTCTTCCAGTGCGGTGAGGGAAAAAAATTAGAAGTTAAAATGGAAAATAGTTCAGTCCTAGTCCGTAATAGAAGGTTCATTAAGTTAAAAACAATTCTATAATTAACTACCCTTCTGACAGTCCTAATGTTATCTTACCTGAAAGATTGGAAAGTAAGGAAAATACTAATTTTTATATAGAGACAGAAAATGAGGAAGCTTAGTAAGGGAAAACTTTAATATTGTTAACGAAAACATTAAACAAGAGATAGCAGATACTGTAGAAATGTATTAGATAAAATACTTGGCTAGGTGAATACTACTAATATAGAAATTATAATAGAACCTCGTGTTCTGGCTAGGCAATGTTAATGACTCTCCGAGCCACCAAGGAAGTATGATGGCTATTCGCAGTACGTCAACCATGTAACGATGCAGAATTATCCCACCCGAGGTGGAGTTCGAACTAATGACCTTTCGATTGTGAGTTGGGTACACTACCACTGCGCCAGTTCTCCGCTAAATAAGATTGTTTTACTTTAAATAGTGCAGATCGATTCAATCTATTATATTATGATGAAATATTTCGTTGAGAAATATGTTCATTGGAAGAGAAGAAGAAAGAAAAAGATAACTAGAATAACAGAGTTCCGGTTAATTTTTAATGAAAAATAAAATATCTAAAAAAGCAGAAAAATAATCAAGTCTCAGAAATTGAATTCCAATTAGCGTTAACAGTAAGTTAGTTTTGTGAAAAGAGGGATGTTATGAGAACTATTACGTTGAACATACAGAGGTTGACGGACAGACCGAGGTTGACGAGAGACTAGTAGTGACATCAAGATGATGTATCTGGTTTTATTTTACTACATTTAAGTAGTTAATTTAAATTCATTGTTGTCTGGATAATACCAAGAATATAACAAATTATGTAATATTATAAAATTATTTTTTTGGTCTCAACGTCATCAACTACTTTGATCATTGGCCTCGTGTTCTGGCTAGGCAATGTTAATGACTCTCCGAGCCACCAAGGAAGTATGATGGCTATTCGCAGTACGTCAACCATTTAACGATGCAGAATTATCCCAACTTTAACTAGATTAATTCTCTCGAGAAAAATTTCAGGTCGAAGTGGAGATCGAACTAATGACCTTTCGATCGTGAGTTGGGTACACTACCCCTGCGCCAGTTCACCGCTAAATAAGATTGTTTTACTTCAAATAGTGCAGATCGATTTAATCTATTATATTATGATGAAATATTTCGTTGAGAAATATGTTCATTGGAAGAGAAGAAGAAAGAAAAAGATAACTAGAATAACAGAGTTCCGGTGATTACGCGATTTATTCATCCGCCATCCGTAAGTAGTAGCAACATCATTCTGGAACTCCTAGCTGGATAGCCCTGGCAGCTGAAGCCATTAATAGAGAAAGAAGAATAAGACGCATAAGAAGAAGTCATAAACTGACAAACGACAAGCTACACTCACATTCGTTCAAAACAAACAATAGTGGTTAAAGCAAAAAGAAAAGGTTATTTTGTATTTTGGGCGAAGATATTTCAAAAATTTCTCATAAAAATGGCTTTAGCTATGCAAAAAAAGGCAAATGTAAGTTATAATAAATCAAAAATGTAATTTTCTGATTGATTCGGCCGTTACTTGATGAAGATCCATAGTAATTTCATAAACTACACCTCATGAGTTTGTGGAGATCAAATCGTGAGGTGTAGTTTATGAGAAAACAAAAATTTAACTTTTATGTTTTTTTTTAGGTTCGATTGCCTCCAGAAATCAACAGAATTCTATATGTAAGAAACCTTCCCTACAAAATTACAGGTGAAGAAATGTATGATATATTTGGAAAATATGGAGCAATTAGGCAGATAAGGGTGGGAAATACGCCCGAAACTCGAGGAACAGCATTTGTGGTGTTTGAAGACATATTTGATGCTAAAAATGCCTGTGACCATCTATCAGGATTCAATGTCTGCAATCGATATCTTGTCGTTCTATATTACCAGGCGAATAAAGCATTCAAGAAGACTGACATAGATAAGAAACAAGAGGAAATTGACAAAATGAAATCTAAATATGGAATTAATACATGAATTTTTCAAATACTACAAACCATGTTTTTTGAAATCTTTATAAATATATTATCACTAGGCTTACTAATTCAATGTTTACACGAAAGTAGTTGTTTGGGAGGGCTTTTTTTACTTCTTTGTATGATCTACACATCCCTGTAAAGAGTTTATTTAAAATACGCGAAAACAATATTATTTATTACGTTGGAAAAATGTTGACTGACAAAGATAAAAATGATGAATTTGAAATTTTGTTTTTCCGCAAAAGTAATAAAATGCATGATAAATTAATTTTACCGAATGTATTAGACATTGCACTCATTCCACTAATATCAAAATGAAATTACCAGAACCAGTTCTCCATGGGATGACTAAGCGGCAGCAGTCCTGTTTGGATTTTGGGGTGTCATTCGGCACCTTGAAAGTCAATTAAGTTCCACTAAGTTCAACAACTGATTTAATTTCTTTATCTAAAGTTTTTTAAATTTTTCAGAATACCTGAATATTTTTATTTAGATGTTTGTAATATGACAATAATCATATGGTTATAGTTATTTCATTTCTTTGGAATAAACATTTTGATGTCTAATTATTTCTTTTTGCCATTTGAATGACATACTGGTAGATATGGGGAAAATGCGTTTCAACTATATGCTATTGCCCCCGCCACCTGGGGCAACAGCGTTTTTGGTGAAAAAAGTTAAATCTATATATTCAATAGAATCCACTGAGGATTGCTGTACAAAAAAAAATTGTAAATTCTACATTAAAAAAAAGCGAGCGCTATTACCCCACCTTCCCCTACCTACCTCTGTAGGAATACAGTTTACTGTTATTTCCTAAAAAACAAACAATTTTGGTATTCATGCGTATAGGGGTCTAATTGCAAAGATATAGAAAAATGTAATTAAAAAACTAGTTCCCTTGTATTTCCACAACTATGAATTACTCGTGTAGTACCTTACTGAATAAAGAAATACTGTAAATCAGAGTGCAAATTGTATCTGTTGTTAGATGTGTGAAAGGTAAACAAATGATTCACTGACTCAGATATGCAATTAATAGGCATACTGCATATTCATATGGATCGACACTTGTGAACAGAAATATATTTGTGATTTTTTTTTCATGATACCTTGGGGTGAGCGATTTTTTACTGCATCAACATTTTGTTTCAAATATAAAGGTTATATAAAACTTCTTTATATTGCATGGTTATACAAAAATCATATTTTTCATTATTCATACTGATAGAAATGAAATTATTATTTAGAATATAGATTATGAAAACTATTCTTTAGGTATAGGTACATAAATACTAACAATCAGATATCTTGATGAATACCTCCTCAATTATCCGAATGAGTCAAACTACTTAGAATAGGCATTGCATGGAGAACAAATAAAGTGATAGTAAATATAATGTATGTATTGTATGCGAAACACGTGTTGCGGTTTTGTAATCTGTCCAGTGAGAATCCCACAATGAAATGATCTCTTATATGTAAAAAACAATACAAACCAAATAAGTCGAAATTGCAAATTCACAAACGATATGCAAGGTCTGTTCAAAAAATGGGGTGAATTTTTATTTTTCTCAAAAAATAAATATTCAACCGCCTCTATTCTGTCCCCATCAAAGTAGTTCCCCTCAGATATAATACACTTGTGCCAGCGGTTTTTCCAATCCTCGAAACAGTTCTTTAATGCACTTTTTGGTATTTTGTTGAGCTCTCTCAGTCGTAACGGCCAAATCTTGGTGAATACGGTGGCCGAGGCATGATAAGGTGTTTGGGCAAAAAATTATGAACAAGCAATGACAAGTGAGAGTCGTCATGAAAAAGCCATGAATTATTTTTTCACAATACCGGACGTTTTCTTTGTATATTGTTTCATGCAAGCGGCGCATAACTTTACTATAATACTCCTTACTTGTGATGCACTGTTTGAAACCTTTGGCGTAGTAATGGATATTACTGGAGCTTTTTCCCAACACCAAAGCGTTATTTTTGACACCTCGAGGAAGATCAGACTTCCTCTGAATCGAAACACGTGTCGAGGTGTTTAAAATAACGGTTTAGTGTTGGGAAAAAACTCCAGTAATATTTATAATACTCCTTATCTGTACGACCATGTAGCAAGAACTCCTGATACACAACGATACAGTAGTCGAAGAAAACATTGAGCAAAATCTTGACATTTGATCGAACTTGGCGTATTTTTTTTTTTATCTCGGCTCTCCTGTGGACTCTTCCATTGGGATGATTGGACTTTGGTTTCGATGTAATATACCCATAATTCGTCACCAGTTTTCCTTTTAAGAAAATCTGGATTGCAGTTGAAGGCATACAACAAAAGTCTCACAATAACGAGAGCATTTTTATCAAAAGTATCGGCCAAATCCATCATAATTCTTCCTTAGTTGCCAGCCATCATGGCAATCACTTGGTATATCATAAACTCTAGTTTCGATTATTTTTACAAAATTATTGTGAATAAACTTAAAATAACACATGGCGAGAATGCATGCTCTTTGGTGTAAAATTCAGCAAAAAACCTTAGGAATATGTATATTATTTTCGAACATGAACACCTTGACAAACATGCTGATAAAGTATAAACGTGGTAGACCTAGCCTACATTGGGGTGGCTGTGGCTGGAGAAAATATTCCTACTGAACTACAAAAATATATTCATCACACTTTGAACCATCAAGGTGTGCCGTTGACAATCGGGCCTTGATTTATAATGCGACCGGGTATAGTGGCTACCAACAAGTCATTAGGTCGAGCGAGAATTTCACAAATTTTGGTTATTTACATACATACATTTTCACAATGTATGTTATACAAAAATGGTATACATAATGAAACGAGTACTTAATTGGATTTTCAATCTTGATTTTGAAGGTAACCAGTCAAGTACAGGAAGCTTTAGCTGCCTACGTGATCAAGTTAGTAGTTGCCTATGAATGATATATCTTCTAACTCAAATCACAAATGTGCGGTTGGCTTCTGTTATTAGTGACTCCGTGCACATGTGCAGTTTTCGATAAAAAATGTTTGCCCATCCTTACACTTTTGGTTGCATCGCGCTGTTGACGAGGCCAATAGCCAGAAACACGTGTCCGCGGTTTTGCTCCATTTTTGAATGTTATATCCGATAATTCACCTCTTTTGGAATTATATCAAATATACTCCTTTCTCTGTATTTATTATCCGTTTATATTTACTATTTAGTGAAGTTTGGTTAGAATTTAGAAACTGTCATAGAAAACTTTTTTATTGATAAGTTTTTCATAGCTTGTGTCCGTATTTCGTGCTTACGCAATTTTTCATTTCGTCACGCCCTTTTCTCTGTGGTTATATCTTTGTGAATTTTGAGAACTCAAGCAATGCCAACATTCTAATTCTAATAATTTATGCTGCTACCACCTCATTACTCTGAGGCTACCACAGGTTACATACAACGTGGTATATATGTAATATGTGTTCATGAAATACGTTGGCAGCACTGATATACTTTCTGGGATTTTTCTATGCTAAGTTGTTTAGCGATTCATCTACTTTTGTTTACTCGTTAAGTGTTTGGAAAGGTGAGATAAAAATAAATGTTTCATTAATAAAATATAGTAATAGTACTATTGCTTAAAACAAACTATTTTCGAATGTATAGAACGTTTAAGATCATTTTCTGACAAAAATATAAAAATTTAAAGAATCGTCAGTCAACCAATTATTACATACATTGAACAACTGGTATTAGTATTTAGTGAAGTTTTCAACATTTACGAATTCAATGCATGATGCAGTATCGTATCAGTAGGAAGAATCCAAAACAATTTCGAAAATTCGAACTGCACTCGAATTTCAACACTATTTGCATTTGTGTTTAGCGTTTTCATTTTCGATATGGTCAGAGTCGCTACTCAGGTCCGTATTCACAAATTTTAACATATTTTTTTAATCACAGAACAGCATAAAATCAATGTTGCACAGAACAATATAGAACAATGAATAATAAGATAAAATATCTATCTAAATATTTTCGAAAAATAATTTCACATAATAATAAAAAAATGTTTATTTCTCATAGCCATCACATTAAAACAAAATAACAATAAAAAATGGATGCTTCATTAGAATTCAAAAACTTTTTGGTGGAAAGTTTACCTATATACAGCTCTTGTTTGGCATTTGCAATGAATGTGATGTTTATTAACCCAATATTTTGCATATTGCTTGAATATAACAAACATAAAAAAACAATTCTTTTTTCAAAGAATGACTTCTTGGGTGTATAATCTGTCATTATCACATGGACATGATCAATTGACAAGAAATGACAATACCACCAAAATGACAAGTGAAAATGAACACCTGATGGAAGTATTTTTATAAAAGAATAAAAGATAACTAGTTAGAAGATGTTACATGAATTGTTTAAGCTGAGTTTGTTTATAATTCTGACGATACAAAATGCTTGGTAAGATGTATACACTATTAACCTTTGTGTTCAATGATTTTTATCTATTTCTTGATGTCTAAGCCAACTTTTACTTAAAGTTTAATATGCTTTTGCAATACTTTTGTTTGAAACCAATATTTCCTGTTTTATCTGAAATGGCACAGCTTTACTGCTTTCCTCCAAACTGTATTTTCACATTGGTACTCCTTACATTAGCATCACGACCTGGATAGACAATTACTCTTCGTTTTGGACTGCAATTGGGTGGGAGATCACCATTATCTCCCAGCTACTTTTCATATGGGGTGCACATGGACAACCAGAAATTGAGTTGAATGAATGAATTAATATTCTTTATTCGCCATAAACAATACAATAGTATTATAAGATTTTGTCAAATATCATATACCATAAGAATACCATGAAACATTAAATGAATAAATAAAAAATAAACAAACAAGGAAATGATATGTGAACAATTTCAATATAAATATCACTATCTACGTAGAATGTAAATTCAAAATATGATATAATTTTCAAACGAGGCTGTATTTAAGTTTTTTATATCATCTGGTAGTTTAATAAATAAAATAGGACCATAATAATTTTTCGAAAAACGGCAGTGATTTAGTCTTGTGAATTCAATTTTAATCTGTTGTGATTGTCTGGTGTTATGTGAGTGAAAATCGTTTTGATGTAGATATAAGTGAGGATTTTTTTACATAATTTATACGCGAATTGACGTACAGAGAAGGTTATGTAAACATTTTATTATTAATACATGTTGTTTTAACGTCTTCTTGATGACCCAGTTTGAAGATAACTCGCAAAACTTTTCTTTGCAGTCCAAACACTCTTTTTGCATGAGGCAAGTGCCCCCATAAGACTATAAGACATATGGGACATAAAAAGTGAATGATAAGCAGTGATAATGGTTTCAATAGATGAGATGCCCATTAAACTTCTTATAGTATAAATGTTCGGTGCCAATTTTTTGCAAATAAAATCTAAATGTTTTTCCCAAGAGAGCTTTGGATCCATTTGGAATTCAAGAAATTTAATTGATTCATTTTGGACTACAAGCAGTTGTTTGTGTGTAAAAAAGTAATGTTGCGTTTTATTTGTATTCAATTTTAATTTATTATTTGTCAGCCATCTATTAGCATTCGATTCTGCTACTTTCATTTCTTTAACTATAGCCTCGTAATTTGTATTTTGGAGCAAATTGCGTAATCTCAGAGAGATGTTCAGTCTTGAAATCAATCACATAAATCAAGTATAGAATTGGTCCCAAAACCGAACCTTGGTAGACTCCGTTTTTTATTTCTTTGGTATCAGATGCCTTAGTATTCACAAAAAAGTATTGTCTATGTTCCGATAGATATGATATAACAAGGTTAATTGAGTTTTCCTCAAATTTGAACCACTCCAATTTTTTAAGCAGGATTTCATGTGACACACAGTCGAATGCCGCCTGAAGATCGCAGAACACTGTTCCTGTCTGGACACATTTCTGACCTTGACCAGAAAAAACTTCAAAAGTTCGTTTTTGTTGATTTCATTCAGGCCTTTTTCATTTGTTTATCTGCTCCATGAAAGTTTGTAGCATTGTCACAGTAAATATTTTTTGAACGTCCTCGTCTTCCTACCAATTTTTATCTAGCCATTATGACAGAGTCTGTTCTCAGGAAAACAGACACTTCTAAATGAATAACTCTTGTACTGAGGCATGTGAATAATACACCATATCTCTTTTCTCGCCTCCTATCGATTGTTACATTCATCGATCCAAAATAATCCACACTTGTAAATGTGAAAGGTCTGACATACCTTTCCGACCTACAAGGTTTCACACAACCATTCTTACAAAATTAACAAACATTCCAACCACTTAAAACCACTGCACACAATCGTAGAATGTGTTCGAGTTTTTTTACGATGAAAATTTGACTATGATGCCCTATTTTCTCGTGATAGTGAAGAATGAGTAATCAGGTGCAATGACTTTTGGAATCCAAAATAATGAGATTTTTCATGTATTCTACATCTCTAGATGCTGCAATTCTTCCTCTGACTTGTAAAATTTTAAATCCACCTATATAAGGTGTACTATTATAGCTTGCAAGAGTATTTTAATGAATCATTTTAAAACATGTATTCCATGTTATATTTATTTTTATTGTATTTGTACCCGTTTTATTCAAACCTTTATTAATTGCCAGTTTTTATTTATACACCATTAGTTATGCTTATATTTATACCGACAAATCTTTGTCGATGGGATACAAAATCTTCTGACAATAAAGTATATTTTGATTTGATTTGACAGTAAACAGGTTTTCTGAATTTATTGTGAAATTCAATTTTTGTCTCATTATAAAAAACTTTAACAAATACCTGCTTCATGTAGAAAAGAAAATCGCACATTTTATTTTTCAGTTCATATCAGTCTCTGGGAAAACACCCGACTCCAACTCCTTACCATGACTGGGACTACTTGATGTTTTCACAGAGATGGCCTGTTACTTCTTGTTGTCAGTGGGAAGAAACCAAGCCTGATAATACTTGTAACCTGCCCGCCGATAAAAGCCAGTGGACGATACACGGAATATGGCCAACAAAAATGGGCAAGGAAGGACCATTTTTCTGTCCCTCGGCAATGCACTTCGATCCTGGTCAACTGGAACCTCTCTTGGACGAGCTCAAAGAGCATTGGACTAATGTGGAAGCAAACACAAAACTATATTCATTTTGGAAGCACGAATGGGATAAACATGGTACATGCTCTTCAATTCTACCAGCTTTAGATAGTGTCACAAATTTTTTTACACAGGGACTGACATGGAATAATGAATTCAAACTCACAAATATCTTAGCGAAAAGTAATATTATCCCTCGGAGTACTGGTTACACACCTGAGCAGATATATGGTGCTGTCAAGTCAGTGCTAAAGGTCGATCCTATTGTACAATGTGTTGTTGATAGGAAAACAAAAAACTCTATGATTAACGAAATCCGAATTTGCTTCAACAAATCTTTGGAACTCATAGATTGTGATCCATCCAATCCTATTAACAGGATAAAAGGATCTATCTTGAGTAACTGCAATGTGAAAAAACCTGTTATGTATCTTGCTGAATTACCGAGCAATGATATAACTTATCAGATAGATTATGCTGATAATGCTTTGAAGCAACATTATGAAGAACAGATGTACTATGTAGGAATATACAGGTTCTTGAAGTTTCTCATTTGGTTTACAACTTGACTTGGGTGAAAATTTTGCTCTGATAGAAATTTTTATTTTTAATTTGGGGTATTATTAAAAAAAAAATGAAAACAAAAAATTTAACAAATGGGTAATTACATTTTAAAGTTACTTCCATTGAATAGAAAAGTACCTAGGCTTGATCAATAACGTTATTTTTCCATATATTTAAATATATGAAATTTACTAATTCAGTGAGAAAAACCTCCATTTCTATTTGTTATAAATGAATTTTTATGGTAATTGTTAAACATCAATATCAGTCATCAGCTACTGTCTGCCATTGGTTAAGCACTACCATGTACTTAACACTAAGTAATTGGGAGAAAACAATATAAGTTAATTTATAGATAGGCAATTACTTTTGTCACAGTAACCCGGGACTATTTTTATATTTATAGTGGAGAAAAGCCCCTAAAAATTCCCGACATCCAATGATACAAAAGTTTTCTGATTGGTGCGAATACAATTTTCAATTGATGGGAAAGATCCATCCAAAAATTTTTTTCGATGATGGAAGTCGAGAATAGATTATGACAAATATTTTCGGGAACCAACTATTGTCCAGCAGGGATCTATGGGTATTCAGTATGTTTCTATTATATATAATGTATATAATATCTATGCTTTTTACTGACTCCTCAAAATTGACGAAATGTTAAAACTAGTAAAAATTGAAAAAAGCTATTATCTTTTCTAATTTTAAACTCCATGATAGCGAAAATAGTATAATTATCTAAGAATGTCAGGAGACTTTAAAAAAAATTCTCATCTTCGATGTTTCTTTCCTCACAAGATGTACCATACTCGAAAGTACTTCAGAAAAGAAAGATTAGCTTTATCTTTGAGACATTCATATTTCATACTGATATACTGACAAGCAAAATGCATCTACAACGGATAATTATAACTTAACGAATTCAATTAAATTTAACATCTTCGCATGTAACGATTCTAAATTGATAACTGAATAAAGTTGTTTGCAAAATACTACAAAAATGTTCTGCTATCAAAACATCTATTATCTTGCAAAACATAAGAATCGCATCTTAATATAAAAATTAGAGACTATATAGAGCAATCCTAGTTGTAATTCGTTTTCACCCAGGTTTAGTCATTTCTACCAAAAGTTATTCGTTATTTTTGTTCGGGAAGAGCGAATAACTTTTGGTGGGAATGAAAAATTTGGAATAAGATCAATGTGAACAAAACACATCTGATAGTAGGGCTTAATTTGAATCTAATTCGATAATAGAGAAAATAAACAACAAAACACCAAAACCAAACTGTATTTCATTACTTCTACATCACTAATACATAATATATTTTTTCTCTTCAAGTAATATAAGAAAAGAAACAAGAAATCGAAGTGAAGAATTTAACAACCACCATTTGTTTTAAATCACAGAACATTTTATTCTTCTACATAAAGATTTCAACTGAAACAGTAGTACATAATACATCATTTCAGAAAGAACTAGGCAGATACATATACAAATTTGAGTTTTTGTTTGTATATAACACATCCAAGTTCCAAGTACTTTTTACGATTGCTTGCTGTATCCTCTGTCTGGTAAATAAATGAAGCAGTGATTTTTTTTATCAGAATGCCGAATATTTGAAAAGCTATTGTATAAAACACATGTTGTGTTTTTGTAAAACTGTTTTTGTGAAAATCTCGCAATAAAGTGTTTTTTGAATATGTTTGAAAAACGGTACTTCTATGTATATAATTGTATGATGGACACAATAAGTAATTAATCATTCTATCCTATTCTGGATAGTCCCTGAGATATCATAAACATTTCTGTTTTACCTTTGACATTAAATAAAACTAGTAACCACTTGAATATCCCAGTAGTTTTCAGGGAGTTACCCAATATAAAATATAGGTTAAGAAAAAAATCAGGCGTCTGCATTTTGATCTGTAGATGGGTTTCTCCACTGTCTGATAGTCCTGAATTATCAGTTTCAAAAAAGATTAATTTACATTATAGAGGATTGAGAATTGTTAATCTCGAACTTCCAATAGTAATTTGAAAAACAAAAAAGTTATTTTATTTTATATTAATACGCGTACCTGGTTTGAAAAACACATAAAGGTCAATAAGTCGCCTGGAGTGCCATAGTAACCACTCTCTACCTGTACGTTCGGGTAGTTAATTATTATTAAGAAAGTACAAGTTTTTCTTCATTTTTGTCCAAATCGATAGAGCATGGTTGGTCCAATAATTCATTACACAGTTTTAGCAGGATTTGTTCAGAAATATTGGAAATTTGAATTTTCAAATTAATTTTTCAAGTTTTATACTTCAAAATTAACCCTGTTTTCTGAAGTAAATGTGTCAACAAGCAACTGGGCATATAAACTATGATATTTAGCAGAGCACCAGTTTACTCCCAAATTTCACATTATTCCTGCCACTTCTACAAAAAAAGGATCTTTTCTATAATATAGACATATACCATTCAAAATGGAAGCATTCTTATAAAACATACAGCTTTCAACTGACTGGAATGTTTTTTTTTTCATTAGGCAGATATTCCAGAAATTAACTAGAACAACAAATTTCATGACTCAGACAACTTTTATTATTATTCAATGTCAAAAATCGGAAGAAATTGGGGATTTTTTTGACAAAATATCGCTGGATTCACATAGTTTTTAAATGGTCTATGTCGAAGTTATGTTGAAAAATGTGCCATTTAATTAGCTTACCAATTTATTACTATTAGATAGAACTCAAATACAAATTGAACGACCAATTTTTCAAATTTTCTCTACCTATAACTTAATGATTAACAAATTTTAATGAATATCTCATTAGCGATAAACCAAAACCATGTTGAATTCATTGTAGTAGTTAGAATTTTGATCAATGTTGTGGAACTGAATTGATGAGATAATTAAATGGCATATTTTCCAAATTTTATTATAAGTTTTTAATGATGAACCGACAAAATTTCAACAGAAACCATATCCAGTGGTGTTGTCAAATAAAAACTCTGATAAATTTTTATTTTTGACAATGAGAAATGATGAAAGTTAGACTTGAAAATGAAAAAAGGATCATTTTAATCTGTTGAAAAATGGATCACATTATATATGTTCCACCTTTACCTCTCTTTTGAATTTATTTTGAGGTTATTATATTTTTATTTTTTTCCACCCTGATGTTTTCTGAAAGGAACGAAACCACATATATTCGCAAATACAGCGTTCAAACTCAAATCACGAGTATCCGGCTATGAATTAGAAAGTTATCCTTTTGCATAATATTGGCGAAAAGAAGCAGTAAATATTTCAAATTGAATAGAACTAACTGTGCTTACCTTCAGAATTCCAGCGACTTGTTTCGAATAGTTTGGGCAATATTGTTACTCTCAAGACATTTCACTGCAACACTCATCACTTGAGCATCTTGTCAAGCATTTGAAAGACCCTTTCGTTGTCTCGCACTCCCGACCGTTTTTGACGGAATATCGTATACGGGGGTTGCGCTATTTAGTCACAAATGGAGGCAAGCACAGTAATATCACGGTCTGGATATTGAACAACGAATAATAGAAAAATGCTTTCAGTAAACACCAGGTTGAAAAAAAAAGATTTAAAATTAAACTAAAAAGAGAGGTAAAGACAAAACAGTATAATAATGTAGTATATCTATTATTGTAAAATAGTCATCATACTATTTTATGTGTCATCTTTCTTCTAATTATTGAATAGCTGAATATGTGTGAAAGTTATGTAAGTCGTATCTGAAAAATGAATATGCATTTTTGAAATACCCACAGAGGTCCGAGAATTATTGATTCCTACACAAAAATGTCTTGAAGGTTATCCTTCCTTCACTACATAGTATTTGTATTTTTAATGTTTGGAGCGGCAAAAGAATATAAAACAAGTAGCCAGAGTTCCATTCACTGCATTCGAAGCAATTTTTGTGACTTCCAACTATGATTGTTGAATTAGTTTTACTTCATGAAGAATATAGCTCTAGCCGTGGAGAGTCGTAGAAAATTAAATATGAAACCAACCAATATCATGAGTATAGCAGTTCTGAAAAAGATAAACAAAAAAAAATCATAACGGTAACATCTAGCTTAGCAGATTTCCTATCTTATAAATTGAAATCTAATGTGTCATATAAGGTGCCAAAATAAAAAGCCTTTTTCTGACTACATTTCATTTGAATGATGTAACATAAATATAACCAGTCTCTGGATTAGAGGGAACATTAGTTATGGTCGTTCATATAGTAAACATAAAGTTTTACAAATCAGCTTTAATGTTGTTTTTTTGTGAATGTGAAGACCAGCCTCAAAAATCAATTCACAAGGAACCAATTTCAAATGAAATATTTCCTATATTATACTCCAAATATGAGGGCATTCTTGGTTCCAGCTCAGGATCTGAAGATCCGATGGTAATATTCAATTTATGCTCGGCTCTTAGACCGCCAGGTAAAATAATTTCTGGTTATATGCAAGTTCAGATGAAGAATGATTAAGAAAAAAAATTGCTGTTAGCCTAGCAACCACAAAGGTAGCCTTTTGCGGTAGTAGTTCGGTAGGGACAAACATTGCCTAATACTCATAAACATATGGTAAAGTACAATTAAAACAGAATGTTTTTAACACAAGAAGATGTTCCTGGGACAAGACTAAAATTTGCAACTGTAAAGGATAACAATTTTGTAACATTAAAATGTTAGCTTGCATGCCGTAATTTAGAAGTAACTGGGAAAAAAGTGAATTAATAGACAGACAAACTCTAGTAAAAGAGTAGCGGTAGATTCTGTAATAAAAGAAATTTAAAATAATTATGAACTTCACATTCATTTCCGAGTGAAATATGAATCAAATATAGATGGTAATGAAATAAATTTAATTAAATATAATAAATGAATATAATTTAATGAACGATTGAGGTTATATCTCATTCTAATCAATGGTAATTACCTATGAAAAGTTTACTATTCATTTCATGTTTAGAGCATTCATATGAATATTTATTTATTTTTTGCACTGTTAAATTCACTCTTCTCGAAGCATGTATCCATTTCTCACATCTAACCTCATTAATATGAGGTTTTATAAATGGTATAAAAACACGTTTTCTTCCGGATATCGATTATCCGACGTACAATTCGCAAAACATCAATGCTTTGTTGGCATTATACTACTAGCACATAATACTTTTTTATATCAGATTTATATTTTTAAATGATAAATTATTATTACGTAAATAACACTGTTTTACATGTGAATAGTTTATGTTTGTCCCTACTACTAGTGCTGCCTCTCGTGACACGTTCGCTGTGGAAAAAGGCTTGTTAAATATTCAGAAGGTGATATAACATTTGAACCACAAAAAATGACAACATTTCATGATATTAATTTGGCCTAATAATCCCAAAACAACCAATTTCAGTTATGGATGAAATAGTTGTATTTGATGATGCAGCAATGGGAAAATTTCCTAAATACTCTTGTCATTGAATTCTAAAATAGTGAATTAGAAAAGAAATATATTTTACTGTCGCAACAATTATAATTATTATAAGATTCCAAGATCACACCTTGAAAAAATAAATTCTGAACTATTTCTCATCTAGGAGTTTTTGGAAATATTCTCTATTGCCCCTTCAATTAGTAGTGTATTCCACAAAATTGGGAAATATTTGAGATCGCTTCCATATTTTGTTTTAGTTAGGGGTAACTATAGTAAAACTTATGAATATATATGTCAAATGTAAATATATTTAAGTTCTTTCAATAAATTGTTTCATTAAAATGGTTAACTGTTCATTTCAAACATTTTTTATTAAGGAAATAGGCATTTGAAATTGAAATTTGTAACATTCACTTTTCCCAACATTCCTATATAATTTGTTGAAATTCATTTTTCTGTTAACCAGCTGTTGCCCCCTACGAACGATGACCCTGAAAAGTAGAAACTTGGGCAAGCTACGGATTAACGAGGTCCTACCTTTTAACGTGCAATTCTTAGCACGGTATAGGTTCATTTTGAGAATAAAGCTCCAAACGGAAATCCGTTCTGCACTGACAAGGAGTAATACTTCAAACCAGTCTGTAGGAGATCACTTGAAGGAGTTTAGCAAGATCCTGCTGGTGGGCAAACGAGTAACATTTGTAACACTTTCCTCTGTAATGAAACTTTCACAAATGACTGTCGGATATAATTTAATGTCCGTCGTGCACTAACCAGTTTTTCATTCTTTGATTTAGTATATTTGTATGTTACTTTTTAGGTGTTTAGGTGCTTAGGTTTTAGGTGACATATTGTTTCCTGTACACAGTCAAAAAAAGGAAACTTGAACTAAATGGTTTTTTCACTAATAAAAAACAAAGGTTTTATCTTTTTTTGAAGCTACATAGCTGTCAATAGTTTATTTTTGAATCAAGTCCAATAAAATGTCATACAAAATAAACACCACTTTATTATTGATCTTCACACTCAAAGCATATTTATACAAATATCAATGAAAAATTTTTTTAATTTGAACTGATAACAAGCAAAAAAATATAACTTACAATCATAAGGTTATTAAAATTTTGAAGTGAGCCCCGTATAACGCTTCTTAGTTCAGTTCACCAGTTACATTGTAAGACTAGAAGTTCAATTCTTTTTAACAATGAGAACCGCTGTTGGTGCCAAACCTGGAATAAAAAAATTCATTATGAAACGGTTGATTCGAATTCAAAGTTACCAGAGAGAATATTTCAGAATAACCCAAATTAATTTTGAGACCCAGTTGGAGGCACCAGAACAACACTATTTAGAGCAATTCCTCAAAATAGGGGGTAATACGGGTTATATTCAAGACAGTGTGGACTACAAGAAGCTTCTTTTAGAATTTATAAAAAATGTGGATGACACTAGGTCATTGTCATATCTTTGAGTCCAAAGCTTCATTATCAACGATTATAGGGGAGGTGATAATTTTCCTCCTTGGGGACAACAGTCGCTTTGAATCTTCAGAGCGACAGTCTAAGGCTAGAAAGGTTGAGGTCATAATATTATGGACTTTCTGGGGATAGAGAAAAAACAATAACTGGATACAACAATAGTGAAATACTGAACCAATTCAATAAGAAATTGAAGGAAATACAGCCTCATTTGACTGAGGACATCGAAATCATCAAAGCTAAATTAGACAAAATGGTTTAAAAATCGTTGCTGCATCCGCCCTTCTTGACAGTTACGCTAGTGTTCCAATCGAATTCATATTACCTTTTTCTACCTTTCTATTTATTTATTCACCCTTCCAAATTACACACGTGTATGTGTTCAATATGTGATATATTTTCTGATAGTGAAGAAAATTGTTATGGAGAATTGTCAAATAATCGTTAAAGAAGTTGCGTAGGTTGTCGACACATCGATTGGCTCACGCTATGCAATTTTTAGGAAATTTTGAAATGAAGCATGTGTCAGCAAAATTCGTTCCAAAATTGATGAATTTTGACCAAAAAAACCATCACATGAGCATCGCTCATGAATTGTTGAATGACGTCAACGGCGAACCAGTTTTGCTTAAAAGGGTTATAACTGGTGACGAATCATGGGTATATGGTTTTGACAATGACACTAAAGTCCAATTGTCCCAATTGCAGAGCCCAGGAGAGCCAAGTCCAAAAAAGGCACGCCAAGTTCAGCTCACTGCTGTTTTCCCTGATGCCACCTGGCATAGTGCATGAGGAGTTCTTGCCACATGGTATTATTTACTTTTTACTTTTTACTCCTACAAACACAATATTGAATTNGGGAATCTTTCCATGCATCTGAATGTAAAGTCTGACTGCAGACAGAGGTTCTTTAGCTCCAAAAGTTTCGGTCAATCCTGAGCCATCAGGCATACGTATTTGCAACTTTACCTCTGAATAATTTGTTTTAGTGGTAGTTACCGCCGAAGTAGATTTGGGAGGGTTAGGTATGCCAACAGCTTCATTGGGGGGAACTGAGTTTCCAAATTTTGCTTTTCTGGCAAGTTTATCCTAAAAAGGTGTTCAAATTAATTTTATATAATTTACGTGGTAAATATCAATGGGAAAACATTAGTTTGAGGGAGTACCTTAACACTCAAGCACAATGTAACAAAACAAATTTGAAAGACTGAGAATGTTCTGGAATTGAGTTAGAGTTTTATTTTAATCAGAAAGTACCTGAAACAGAAAACAGACTGAATATAAATCGAAAGAGGTATATTTTTCAGCAAGTCAATTTTTGAGAAAAATGGCTTTTTATTTTTCAACTTCTCTATTATACGAAAATTGTGGTAAACTTCCAAAGGAAGGAAGAAAGCAATCAGTCCAANATCATATTAGCTGTCCTCTCTGTATTTCAGTTCTCTAATGAGGGTCAAACTTGCAGTGAGCTATCAACAAATTATGAACGGACTATAGTTACAGATATCATCTCGTCCTTTGAGGACTCGTCAAATCTATCACTCGCATTATCGCACTATTGCATTATTGCACTAAGAAAAATACGACATGTCACAAACATGGAAGCAACAGTATCTGCGTATTATGCATTGTTTCATAGTCACTTGATGTATGGAATACAGTGTTACGGTAATGCAGTATCTACACATATTACGAGAATTTTCACATTGCAGAAAGCGGCAATAAGATCTATTTTAAATGTACCATGGGATACCAGTTGTAGAGAACTATTTCCTTCATTAAAAATCATGACCATCTACTCACTGCTCATTTATCAAAGTATAATAACAGTTAAGTCAAAGATAAATGAACATGCAACACACTCGTCAATTCACCCTCATGATACCGGACACAAACACAATTTGTTGGTGCCATTATGTCGTCTGCAACGAACGCAAAGAGACAACATACGGCTCTTCAACCTTCTTCCCACAGAGTTTAGGAATACACCCTCGACGCAATTCAAAAATCAATTAAAACAGATACTATCCAATAACTGTTTCTTTAGTATACTTGAATTTGAAACATTCATCAAGAAAAACAGAAATATCTTCATGACCCACAGAAACCTGTAGTTTTATTTATACTGATAGCACAATTCATCATTATCTATATACATACTTTATATATTTATAATGTATAATGCCATTGTTTTTATGTATTATTTAGCTTTTCTATTGCGTTATACCTTCTATTTTTTTATCATTAACCAATTTTAATGTATGACCTTATATAAATTTTTAAATGTATTTTTCTACTGACCTGTCTACAAACTTTATGTTTCTTGAGACCAATAAAAATTATTATTATTATTGGCAGGTGTAGGCCAAGACTCGCCGAACACATACTCTCTTTGGCAACCTTGAGGTGTCTCACGGTGGCCTCCGCGAAGGTTTTGGAAGGTGCAGCGACCTCACTGCCATTGAGCGGCTTCTTCAACCTTCTTGGAGTTTCCTCCGTGGAGGTGCACAAGTGAGGGAGCTGCTGTTGGAGTTGGAGAGGAGGAGGAGGGTGCACTTATAGTTGCTGCCACCCTGCCTCTTTCGCTCTTTTTCTCCTTTTGGCCTCGGCGCCGCAAATGGGCTTACGCCTAGTCCTCTGTATTACATTACGAGGTGATCTGCTTCCAGCCTCATTCCAAGCGGTAGATTGGGGTGGACATTTCTGTTTATCCCCAACCATCGCCTCAGATTGAGGTGAGCACTTCTGTCCAGCCATGGTATTGGTTTTTGTTGTTTCTGTGTTTGTTTCATTCATGTGTTGCCACGAGTAGTAAGGGAAGAAATGGTCACCTCTGGCAGAGCCACGCTTTACCAGAGGTAGGCTGATTACAATGAGGTTTTGCCTAGTTCCCCAAGGGGATCGTTCATAACCGTGTATCACCCTGCGGCCATTCAGCTATCGGCACGATTCCTTACACCTTAGCTTGGGTAGGCTGGTCCACGGTGGCATGTTTTGCAAAGGCTTTTGGGGAGTTTTAGTTCCCCTTATCCTACTCATTTCTGCCACTGGCCAGGAGTCCGGCGACCTCTTCCGTAAGGCCACATTGGCTTCCCGGACATTGCCTCCAGTCCCCTGGCCGTTATCCTATCCACCACCTGGGGATGCGCCCGATAGGTAGCCCAACCTACGGGCACATGAACATTGAATTACACGAAAGAAAAAGTTTCCTCGAAACAACTACTTATAATCATTGAATTATACGAGAATAATTTTTTCCTATCCAGTTTACTCCAAACTTCATGAAATTGAATCAGATATCGCTACACAATCTAATATATGAAACAGTCAGAATTTAAAATTTTACTTATGTGGGAGATAACAGGAAGGTAATAGTGATTAAATTGATGTGTTGCACAACTATCATCTACTAACTACTAGTGATGAGCTAATTCGAATTGAAATAATAGACAATCCGATTATCATAATAATTCGAGACATCGAATAAATTATCAAGATAATTCGAATTATACTCTTCTTCTTATTATACGGTCAGTGCTTCATTATTTAGGCGCATTTGACGATAATTTGAAATTATTGTGATGGAATCGATTCAGATATCATTCATATANCATTGGTTGCAAAAGTGGACAGATTTTTTCTCGCAAAATTAACACATTTGAACAGATAAATTGATGGTGCCGATAATAGTTGCATTCTGACAAATATCGGTTTACAGCTATCTCTATATTCCATATTGAAAATCAATCTTACAATACGTTTTTGTGCTACAAATATCCTATTAAAATCTCTACCAGAACCCCAAGACATTATATTGAGTGAAATATGGGAATAAGCCATAGCGAAATAGATTGATTCCTTAAAACGAAAGTGTATATCAAAGTCTTAAGTGTCATGGTGAATCGTGCACAATTATATAATTCTTATGTGAAACTGAAATGAAAATTCAATTAAGACCTCTATTATTATTATATTTCACAGTAGGTAAATTTCATACTTTTCAAGGATTACATAAAGCAATTTTTGACTTTCCCCACCCATGTTACTCGCCGTAACGTTTTCCAGCACCCCCTCCCCCACCCTAGACGTTACGTAACGCCAAGTGACCATTTTGACCTAAAAGTCAAAATTACGTTGAGCAAAGTAATGAAAAGTCGCTAAAATTCCGTTGTTATTGTTTTAATCGCGTTTGCGATAATGAATAAAATAAATGATTTCTAACTATACGTAACGCATATATTGTTTATTTTATTCATATTGTTATTTAAATCAATATTACTGGAGTTTTTTCCCAACACCAAATCGTTATTTTTAACACCTCGACACGTGTTTCGATCACCAAGTGATCATCTTCAAAGAGGATAACAGGAAGGTAATAGTGATTAAATTGATGTGTTGCACAACTATCATCTACTAACTACTAGTGATGAGCTAATTCGAATTGAAATAATAGACAATCCGATTATCATAATAATTCGAGACATCGAATAAATTATCAAGATAATTCGAATTATACTCTTCTTCTTATTATACGGTCAGTGTTTCATTATTTAGGCGCATTTGACGATAATTTGAAATTATTGTGATGGAATCGATTCAGATATCATTCATAGGATTGCTACACAATATCGTATATGAAAGAGGTAATATTCACTTACATGGAACACTGTCATTCTCAATGGCGGACTTTGAAGATTCGGAATGAGACATTTGTCTTATTAACTCATCAGCAGCTTTACGGTTGAAATATCAAGATGAAGCACTTCATTCATAACATTACGACTTTACATCAAGGAAGAGACAAATCTACTCACGATGACAGTACGTAAACATTCATATGATTCAATCCCAGGCATAGAAAATCTTGTTTGAATTGAAAGAAGTATTTTTTTAGAAGAAATCTGTTTTTGGGTAATAGCCACTTATACTTGTTCATCTTTTATACAGAAATTGTGGAAAACTTCTAAAGGAAGGAAGAAAACCCTTAATTTAATATAAAATGTGATGTGTAGTTCATGCATATAAGCTACTTTCAGATATAGACTGAAAGAAAAGGTCCTCTCGATATATTCCTTTCAGTTTAAACAAGTTTCCCATGGCTGAGATTAAATCAACGAGCATATTTACATACCGTCACCGTGACACGAGTACATTTGTCTCTTTTGTAACATGAAGTCTTAATGATATGAATGAAATGACTGCTTCACACCTTTTAATATTATCCAAAAAGGTGCTGATGAGGTTCCATGTAAGTGTAGCGAGTAATTGAAAATTACCCGTCAAAGTTAGATTGTTACCATCATCATCATATATCATACTATGTAGGGTTTCTATGCATGGTTTGATTAAATTTCGTGACGAATGTTTGTAGCATAAATTGAATGGATTTTCAATAGAGTTTTTTAGAAATCATATTTATCGTTTGTTTGCAGATCCTTAAACACATAAAACAGCTTATTCTCGGTAACGGCTTATCCAATTTCAAAAAATTAAAAAGTGTTTGATAGATAATTGCAATACCTACAATAGATAATTTCAAATACCCCCTTATCATTTGGAAAAAGTTATTAGCTTTTTGATAAAATTTAACATTTATTCACTAGTACAAACTGAAAATTATTAATTTAGCATTAACAATGTTATTTCCCTTGAAAAAAAAAGTGAATTATTTTTTTCATTGTTTATCAAAGTTTTTCACTAGTTATTCTCCAATCTGATCTGAGATTTATTAATTT